ACTAGGGATGACAGTGTATTAGGGATATATTGAATACTAAACTTTATTTTCTATGTCTTACACCAGATGGCTCACTCCAACATTTTTTTATTATTTAATTGTAAAAAAAAATTTTGTGCTTATAAGCGAAAACTTTTGTATGAAAAAATTACAAAACTGTCAAAAAATTGTATGCTTATAAGAGTTTTGTGTTATTAAGCGAGTTGCAGTTAAGCGTTATAAATAGTATGAAGAATTATACACGCATATTTGCTTATATGCGTGTTGCAATTAAGCGAGTTCGACTGTAAATAAGTATATGCATATACGAGTGTATAAGTGTGTTTAAGTTTTTCATTTTTTTAAATGGAAAATTTGAACTTATACTATTTCAAAAAACTTTTGATGTACATATTATGTATGTATATCATATTTGTAACATTATTTTTTAAAAAATCCCATAAACTAATTCGGAAGTAAAAGAAACAGTAAACGTAATCTTCTTTCCAAATAGTACAGAAGAACAAATTTAAGAGTGTTTCAAAGCATATAATAGCGAAGAGATACAAACAGAGCAAGAGAAATGAATACAAAATTTCAGAAAAAAACAGAAAACTATTTGATTCGACAAGTTTTCTCTTGAGTTTATCATAATGACTCTAATATTTAACATCCTTTTCAAGAATTCAAAAAAAAGGAAAAAAAAAAGAAAATCCTTCTTATTTAAGAAGATAATAAATTATAACATGCACATCTGAATATTGATTACTTATGTAAATAGATTGCTCAAGAAAATTTATAGAAGGATCATAATATAATGGAGCAAGAGAAAAATATTGAGTTTATCTCAATGTAGAAAAAATTTAGTAAAAGATTTAAGTAAATATTTACAATAAAAAATTGAGGAAATGATAAGGTTTCAATGAAGTTTCAATGAACACAATTCACATACATACTTATACATACTACGTAAATATTTAAATAATTATGTAAAGTGTATAATAAATAAATGTTAACTTCAATATGGAAAAACTGTTCCTCTCTATTTTTCAAAATCTTTTCAACTCAGTACATATTTCCCTTTTTATTACAATTGTCACCGAGAGCCGTGGTCTCTGCTGACATTGTAGTGTATATCTCTACCGCATTTATCTTTTATATATTGGACCCTTCATGTCAGGTTTTTTCTACTGCCGTTTCTTTGGAAGCAGTCGCAGACCAGGAAGCCGTCCATTCGTATCAGACGCGCTTGGATTTTGTACGGATTTTAGTGGAGCCGTACAAGCGTGGCTGGTGTAGGTATTTCTACTCAAACAACCCACCGGAGAATTAAACATAGTGAGAAAAAGATCCAAGGAATTCTCCCGAAGTGAAAAAAGGAAAAGAAAATGAGAAACATATACCCCCATCAAAGATGGTTGAGAACACAACTGGAGATTTAAAACTCACACTCTCCAACCTCCTAAAACGATAAACTGCAATTGGGAGAAAACCCTCCCAGACAAAGAACTCTCCAAAGAGGTGGGGATACAAAAAGAAGTCACGGCCCCATTAGATGACTCTCCGCCATATCAAAGCTACTCCGGTAGCATTGGCAAGATTGTTGGAAACCATGACACAACTGACGTTTATCGAAGAACCCAGGTTACACACAAAACAAATCCAAGGATTGCTTATTAGAGATTCTGATAAAGAAGAGCATTAATTCTATTCTACTTTCAGAATTAATGGCGGGGAACTTGACACTCGTCAGGCTATGTGTTAACAAATGCGGTAGAAATCTGGAGATAATTCTAGTATCGGCCACTTAGCAGGAAGTCTACTTAGGTACCAGTGCTGGAAGTACGAAAGCTGACAGAGTATTATTACAAGGAGAGACTACCTCTCATTATCGGATACATTGAAGGTGCCGTCACACAATACTCTTTAAAATGCGGTTTCATTTCATATTTCGATTCGAATTTGTTTAATATCCGAAAAAAATTCGTATCTGTTGTAAAGGCAACTACAATGTGTTTGAAAGCCTATTCTAAGAAAATTTTCATTTTTGACAACAAATTTTTATGAAACAAGGTTTGAATTTTAAAACAAGGCTTGAATAATGTAAGCATGTCACTTAACTTTCTTTCAGTTATATGGCAATTTTTTCCAATAATTTTTGTATAAATTTTTGTTCAATTATTTTTGCAATAAGTTTGGCAAGCATAATATGGTTCGAAAAAATTGATTCCAGTTCACCTTGATTCTATTCACTTAAAATATTTTTAATAGATTTAAAATAATTAAATGCAAAAGAATAGAAAAGTTTTATTTTTTCTTCAATTAAGAATTTTTAAATTGAAAACTTTAATTACTATGTACATGCTTTCTTTTTTCGTATGTATGTATAGATCACCATAACGTGTGTGAACTAAATGGCAAATATGCTTCCTTGTACGTAAGGTAAGAGAACATGTTGATATATATCAGACCATTGTTAAATATCTTTGATTATTAGAGAAAATAAAAGATTTATTGTCCCTGAGTACCATTTTTGTTATAAGTTAATTTCATTTTCCATTTATTATTTTCCTTTTAATTATCGAGAATGAAAGCGAATTGAAAGATTTTTTCTTCTCATTCTGATTCTGCCATTTGATAATAGTATTTGAGGTTAATTGTTCTAAACAAAATTAAAATTGCTCAAATATATATACATGGCTATATAAACATACGTTTAAGTGTATAAGTATATAATAAAAAATATTAGTATACTTTTCCGGAATTAGGTGAAAAAGAAGAAAAATTAATTGTTTCTATGCGGGATAATCAAAATGCATTAAAAATAAACGTGGAAGAATTATTAAATATTTTGAAAGAATTCCCAAGTTTTTACTACATTTTTAATTTTTAATCAGTTGTCTAGTAATCTGATACGAAATTAGGAAATTTAACGAAACTATGTCAATTTCAAAAATTATTTTTAATCTTATTTTACATTGCAAAAGCGTAAAGTCAGAGTTACACGCTTTTAAATATATTCTAAAATTCTTATCTTTGAACCAATTAAATGTTGCATTTAAATTGAATTAAAAAGTATTTAAATTTAATGTTTTTATTAAATATTTTTAATTTTTTTTAAATCGATTTAGTTTTAATATTCAACAAGTTAATTTTAATTTAAAAAACTTTACTCTGCAAAAAACATTGCAGAAAAAAAAATGTATTCCCAAGATAAGCACAGACATTTTTTCCAATTTACTTGAAAAACGAAAATGTAAAACTAAAAAAAAATTTAGTCAATCAAAGTCATAGATTTTAAATTAGCACATTTCGTTTTTAATAATAACTACCCAACTGCTATTTGTATACAGCCCGAATAATGAAATCCATCTTGTGATATTAGTAAACCAATTGTTACTGTACGACAAACTTTGTATTAGGAGGAATTAAAATAACAGATTCAAAAAACTGTAGTTGCATATAAAGTGAATTAGTAAATAATTTAGTTAAGACACAAGACTTTTATTAAAAAAGTGAGGTTGAAGGGGGATACAAAATAATTTAGTTGTAGTAAAATAAAATATTGACATCTATAAACTATTAAAATATAGTTTTTGTCAGTTTAACATGTTGACGTAGATTAATAATGTTCTCGCAAAAATATTTTTGTATGCAAATTTTCATATTTATCAAAAGCTCTTGTAAACAATCGGCGGACGGGTAAACAGAATGAAACCAATAGGCACTTTTTACGAAACTTTTTTTGGCCATGTGCTAAAAATCAAAATAAAAAAATAAAACAAATTTTTTTTAATTTTATTATGGCATTGCAATAAACTATTAAAAATTCAATTTTTACTCTCTAAATTCACACCATATTCCAGGTGAATTACCTAATATTATCTTCGAAACAAATAAATGGTGTGGGTACCGATTACATACTGCATAAATGCCCTTTTCAATATACATTGGTTGTGTATCGCTTGTACTACATATTGTATTAGGAAGAGGTGTAGAGACAAGGAAAGAAATTGAAAAAATTGAAATACGCCATGAGCATTTAAAAGATTTTTTTTGTACCATATTTTCACCTTAAAACTATAACCATAAAATTATTATACTACATGAGTGTAGCTACAAGAAACAAGAATGAGTTAAAAAAAATTGGTATACACTTTTATACTCTTGTGGGTTCATTCTAAGGAGCGACTAGCTTTTACGAAATATTATGATTTGTCAAATAAGGGTTTTTATATTTTAATGTGAATCATGCCAATTCCAATTTTCATGCATACAAGAATAAGAAAAACTTCGCATGTGTATAAAGGTTACATTTTTCTTCAACTTTAATAACGTATATGCATGCAAGATATTTTTCACAATATCGTGTTTAATGTTACCCATGTACCCATATAAATAAGTATACATACATTGTTAGATTTCCTGTAAAAGTTGTGTATAAATTATGTAAACATAAATTATATAATTGAATTTAATAAAAGAAATTGGAAAACTTTCATTTTTATTTTATTACATGGTTCTTAAGAATCACTGTTTTGCTTTGGTGTCGCAATTTCTCCTTCCAAATTGGGAAAACAATAAAAAAATTAACAGAAAATTTGTAATAGAATGTCCGTAAATATATTGGAAAAAAGGATTTATTTGTGACTCCGTTATTTGAGTTTTCTTTTGTTTTGATTTAGTAGTAAAAGTTTGTGTTCTTAGGCACAAGTTGTTCTTTTATATTCCTTTGATAAAAGAAAAATTATAATTTGTTTTTATCTTAGAGAAAATATGATTTTCGAATTTTTTAAAGATTTGTTTTTTAAACTATCATAAAAAATTGTATTGGCTAGGAAGCAATATCACTTAGTTGATTTCAACTTCAGTTTTTTGATGTCGATTTCAACTTCAGTTTCATATTTTGACTTACACGGCCAAAATATGAACTCGTAAAACACGAATGAAACAAACGTATTATTTCATATAACAACAATCTTAATTAAAAAATGTAAATATTTTTTCTTTTGTTTCGATAGGAAATGTCGTTGGGGCCTTAAAAATGACTAACGAATTACTTGATATTATACCTGATCATGAGCGCGCCAATGGTAATAAACAATATTATGAAAAAGAATTGGCACAACTAAAACAAAGTGACAAAACCAAAAACTATGTAAAAGGTGATGATGGATCGGATGACACGCCAGTTGCTGATTTAGTAATATTTTTTTATTTGTTTTGTATATCTTTTTTTTTTAATTAAAAAATTTTAATAATTTTATAGCCAGTTATAACAGTATCGAAAGTAGATCCATATAAATATGGATATTCAGAAAGAAAATTGTATGAAATGATGTGCCGTGGTGATTTAGAACCATTACCAGAACAACAAAGACCATTGCGTTGCAGATACGTTAGTCATGACGTACCATTTTTAAAATTAGCTCCATTAAAATGGGAAGAAGCTAGTTTGAATCCGTTAATTGTTATGTATCATGATGTCATGTATGATAACGAAATTGAATTAGTAAAAAAAATGGCAAAACCACGTTTCAAAAGAGCTACTGTACAAAATTCTGTAACTGGCGAATTGGAAACTGCAAATTATAGAATAAGCAAATCGGCATGGATTAAAACTGAAGAAAGTAAAATTATTGAGACTATAGTACAGAGAGTAGAAGATATGACTGGTTTGAATATGGAAACAGCTGAAGAATTACAAGTGGTTAATTATGGAATTGGAGGACACTATGAACCACATTATGATTTTGCAAGGGTAAAAATAAAATTAATATATTCTGAATTGAAATAAGCTTACTTTTTTTTTTAAATACAGAAAGATGAGAAAAATGCTTTCAAAGATTTGGGAACAGGAAATCGAATCGCCACGGTTTTATTTTATGTAAGTTAATGTGATAGATTTAAGGTAATATAATAACAATTAGAAAATTTGGTTTTTGCTAATATTTTGCAGATGAGCGATGTTAAACAAGGTGGTGCTACTGTATTTCCAAATATTAGAACGGCAGTATGGCCGAAGAAAGGATCTGCAGCATTTTGGTTTAATTTATTTGCTTCTGGTGAAGGCGATTATCGAACACGGCATGCTGCTTGTCCAGTTTTAGCGGGTACTAAATGGGGTAAGTTCGAAAAATATTTTTCAGAATTTCAATTTTCTAATATTTTTTTAAAGGATTTTCATAACTTAATATTTTGGTCCTACAAAATTTATCGATTTTTTGTCCAGTAAACTATTATTATCTATGACATAACGCTTTTTAGTAAGAAGATCAATATAAATCTAATGCGATCACTTGTTCCTACAATATATTAGTAGAACGGTTTTTACTAAAATACTCAACTTATTTAGTAATGTACCAGATTTATTTGTATTTATATAAACGCCTTTAGAATTTTTTTTCTCGGTGTTACTTCGAAATGCGAAATTCTTTTGTTTACTAGCGTCTTCTATAGATATTATTCTTTTTCTCTAAAAAATAAATATTTTGCTAATTAATAACACTTTCTCTTATAAAAATAATCAGGTTATTTCTCAACTTAAAATTAAAAGTTTTTTCTGCATAAGTTGCTGATATAAATTTAATAGCACTCACAGTCTTTTATTCATAACTTCCTTTAATTTTTGCAATTATAAAAAAAACTTAAATTAAACTTTTCAATTATAAGGCTCATGAAATGAATTTAAAAAGGGTTAGAAATAGTACATATTGTATGTATATATGTAAGTATAAATATACAATATGTAAACGCATTGTTTTTTACTATTCAATGTAAAAGTTCACGAAATCTTCCTATTGAATTTGAATTTTCCAAGCAAATATGGAAGTAAATTCAAAAATAGTTTCAAAACTTTTTTTTATATAAAACAATTAAATTCAAAAAGTAAAAATTATTGAAAGAATAATTATTTGTTTGCGAACATGACAAATTTGTTTTATTACTGGAATTATTTTTTATTTGATGAATAAGATTTTTCCAAAAAATTTTAATTATTTTTGTCGTATGAAGCTGCTACTCTTTTTTCTACACAAGAAAAGCATCTTTACAGTGTACAGGTTCTGTAACTTAAAAATTGTAAGGAATTGGTTAAGTTGGATTTTTTAGTCTTTCGTTATTAATCAAGAGAGTTTAAAAAATAATTCTAAGTCCGCTTCTGTTTAAAATAGATAGTAAAAATGAAAACAATAGTAGTGTTTTTTTTTAAACAGAATTAAATACAAAATGAAAGCAATAACAGAAGAAAAGAAAAAGGAAAATCCTTTTCGTATTATTTTAAAAAAAAAAGTTTATTTCAAAATTTTCTCGTTTCGCAAAATTTTTATGTATCTCAGTATGGCCACCGTACTAGTATAGTACTTATTTTACTCTACAATATTTTGTCATTATTTAGAAAATTTTAAAAAGTTTGAAAACCCAATAAAGCAGAGATATGTAAAGTGGCATTTTTAAAGTCAGGAAGTTTTATAATTAAAAACATGTTTAAATTAAAAAATGAATTTATAATATTTTCGTGTATAGATCAGTTGTGCCCTTCTTTCTGAGTGCGTGCCATGACCTTACAGTGGCCGCTCGAAATCTACCCCCTGATGAACATAAGCACCTTGAAAATGATAATCCTGGTTAAAACTTTTAAAACACTTCGAAAACATTAAACTTTAAATAAGGTTTCGTTTCATTTTTCTTGTTTTCAAATTTCTCTCTTTTTTGAACAAGAAGGCAATACCTTCATTATTTCGAATGAAAATGGATTAAAAAAAATATTTTTCCTATTTGTAATAAACGAATAAATAGATATGTTGTACATTGTATAGAACCTCCTACATAACTATATTATAATATAAAAAAGATATTTTAATATAATAGAAAAAAGAAAATTTCCCAAGTTGATTATTTGACAAAATATTTTTGCAAATATACAGAATTCCTTTTGTTTGTATACAGTAATAAGCAATAAGCAATGTGTATGGGTGTATGAATGTTTAATGCCTTAGTCATGGTAGTGTGTTCAATGTATATACGTTCATTTCTGTAAACAGTTATTCAATACCTTACGCACTTTTGCATGTGTATACTTAATTTTTTAACAAATAAACTATAATTTTTAATTTGTTTTTATTAATTTGTCAAAATTAATCACAAATCATTAATTATTCAGTTTTATATTTTAATTTTTGAAAAGTTCACAAATATTAAGACGGTAGCATTTCAAATTTAGTGCATTTAACTAAATTTTTGTAATCAATAATTATAGGTCTATATAAATTACAAAACTATCTTGGTTCACAACAATGGTGAAATTCATGCATTATTCAAAACTTGTTTTTTTTTCTTTCGGCACGTTTCCTTTTGAGTTTTATTTTAATGAGACATGTTTTTTTCATAGTCTAATAAACTTTGGCTTTTTAACCGAGGTGGAATGGTTTATTAAGCAAAAGAAATGTTTAAACCTTAATCCACCATGTTGGTAGCCACCTTCTGCTAAAAATCTTCTGCAATCCATGTTTTTTTTTTTTAAAAACTAATAACAAACGTCGTTTTAATGTAAATTCGAATTTACATATATGATTAATGATTATTTTAAATCATTCAAATGTTTAATTTGAACAAATTTTAGAACATACTGCCAGTTCAAATTTTTTGCGATGTGATTTTGTTACATAGTATATTTTCGAATCGCAAACCAATAAGAATCATAATAAATTTTCGAATGAAACACTGCATAGTATTTTATATAGTTATATACGTTTATATATGTGATGTGTATGCATATATATTTAGGTACTTATCTTTTTGTTCTATTGAATAATGTGAGACCAGTAGAGGAAACTTTTATTGTGTTAAATCTATTTGTGAGTTAACGGAAACATATTTTTTCAATTAATTGTTTGGATAATAAATTTTATATCCTTTATTCCTTTTTTTGTCGATTTGTTTTTTCTTCTTTTTTTGTATTCATATTACATGCCTTTACAAACATATAAATATACTTATGTATATTATAATTAATATGTATGAATTCGTAGAAATGTTTTTATATGTACATAAGTATTACATACGCACATTTAAATAAAATAATATAAAATTATACATAATATTATTTATTATCAACAGACATGATAATATGCTTATCTAATATATTTTGCATTAGGGTTATGTGGGAATAAAAGCATATTTTTCGAAGATGATTTTAGAAAATAGATTGGGACAAAAAGAGGATAAAATATACTTTAATTTTGTCCATAAAGAAAATTTAAAAAGAAAAATTTAAAAGAACATTACAGTTATAACTTTTTTTATTTTCAATATATGTATTTTCGAAATACACACATACATATTATGTAAAATGTATGTAAGCATAGCATTATTTTAAGGAAAATAGCGTTATTTGTTGGTATGGGTATGGGAAACATACATAAATGATTTGATGTTTAACAAAAGGAAAATTCTAAAGAAAAATTATTAAAATCGTTTGACATTTTTACTAAATTATAGAAATAAAGAAGAGTATTCACATTCAAGGCAATGTGCCTATTAATTTTAAAGATTATTTATTTGTTAATCTATACATACATAAATACATACATATATACATACATATAATAGAAACATAATGCTTTGTCATTGAAGAAATTTCTATGTAAAATGCGATATTATAAAATAATTTCACTTTAATCATCATTATATTTGAATGAAAAATATTCTATGAAATTAATTTCAATCTCAATTATTGTTAAATAATATTATTTATTTATTTAAATTAAATATTATTTATTTATTTAAATTAAAATGATATTAATCAAAAGCAGATGCAAAGTTATGTGATTATGTGAATATATTTGTCTTGAATTTTGTTTGTCGTTTTGAATTTTTAAATTAATAAAAATAAGAGTTACTCGTATTTCCATAATTTTCTTAAGTTGGTCAATATAGCTGCTATTAAATTAGTTAATAATTAATAATTTTTTAATAAAACTAGATTTCTGTAATAAGCACAGTAACCAACGTAACGAAAAATTTAAAGTCCTTTTTAGAATAATACTGTTAAAAAAACTATTTTGGCTATTTTAAAAAACAACCTGTTGGCTGTTTTGTTGAATTTTGAAAGCATTTGTGACACTTGTCAGTTCTTACATTTTTAAAAATAAGAAATTGCGTTCAATCGTGCTTCCTTGTAATAATCGCTAAAATTATTTTTTTGTTAAATGAAAGTTACATTGTATTCTTCTGATTAAAGGATGAATGCCTTGCCAAAATATTATATAATCTTTGTTTGGGAATATGTAAAATTTTATCCACACTAGCAATATATAAATATGTATATATTTATACTATATACTATGTAAAAGTTTTTATTATAGTATAAAAGGAATAAGTACCATATTTAAATTTACGACGCAAAATTTTTGATATTTAATTTAAAACAATGCTTATGCTTTTATTTTATTTGTCATTACAATCACATATACTATTTTACCATATAATACTTATACAGTTTTATACTATACAATATAATACTTTATGCTTTACCAATTAAAAATATTACAATAGAAATAAAAATTTTGAAAAATTTATTATTAAAATTAATAAATTAATTTGAATAGAAATTTTTATCTACATTGCATTTTTTTGAGATTTTACACTAAAACTCTTATTTTTATTTTCAGTTTCTAATAAATGGATACATGAAAGGGGACAAGAATTCAGAAGACCATGTACATTAGAACCAGATCACACTGATGAATTTGTTGTTTAACAATGATGTACATATATAGAAACTCGGACTATATAATTAAAAAAATTTCTACTTAACTTTTAAATTCTCGGACAAATGTTATTTTTATTATTATTTTTTTTTGGTATAAAAATAATAGTTCCAAATTTAATTATATTTTCTAAGGAATTTTCGAATCAAAATTATATCTTTCATATTCTAAACTTTAAAACACTTTAACTTTCATTTAAAATTTTGTTTTTGTTTTAAGCTTTAAAATTAATTTTGAATTCCTGTTTAGTCATAAGAAATTTTTGTTTATGTATGAAAGTTTTATATGCGAATGTGTAAGTAGTGATTTTTAAAATTTCAAATAATAATAAAGTTAAAAAAATGATTTTTGAAAATAATTAATACATAGAATAATAGAAAATATTATAGTAATTTAATAAATTTTATATAATAAAGAAAATTATAATAAAATGCATTGAAATTGATAAAAAAAAACTCTTTAGTATCTTGTGCGTTTTTTAATAATTGTTCAGAGTTTTTTCAACCAGTGATGAGACTGAAGCATAAAAATCTTCAAAATAATTAAAATTACATTAGCAAAACCGTCGTCATGTAGGTTAAAACTGTAGTCATCAAAAGTTAAAAGTTCCGTAAATATTAGAAATTTGAGTGAGAGAACTAAATGACTTTCATTTTGCAAACTACAAAGTCTAGAACTCAATTTTGTTTGATATGCGTATAAAATGTGCAGATAATGAGTATTTCGACCACAGATAAATTTATGCCTGTTTAATTTTTGCTTTGTTATAGTTGATGTGTCAGTAATGTAAATATAGAACAATAAAAATAAAAAAATAAAATACTTGTAGTGTTCGTTTATGGAGGCATGCGCTTTTGTTATGCAAGTGTAACAATTTTTCGATGTAAAATCAAATTTAATCAATTCAAAACCAATTCAAATTTAATTTTTATTGAAATTGCATTCTCATATGCTTGAACATTTAGATAAATTGAAAAGTTATTTAATAAGAAATTCGTACAGGAAATTTTCAATAATTCAGAAATGCACTTTAAGTTCTATACCTTAAATCTTAAAAATTTTTTTATTACTTCATTACAGATTTACAGGGTCTAACTAGTTTACTTTTCAGATTTTTAATTTTTTTACATTTTCCTATGCGCTTTTTTTTAACTTACAGCATTTAAAAAAATCTTTAAAAATACTTTAGAATTTTAAGCATGCTATGATTTTTGAACGTGTTTCTTTTGTAGTTTTCATGTTTCTGAAGCTTTATATTATCTTCATAAATTACAAAATCTAAGTTAGAACGGAATTTTCCGCGGAAAGTCCATTATAAAAAAAATTATTCTACAACAAATTCTCTTAATTTCAATGAAGGAAGAAGCGTTATAAGGTAAAAACTTAAAGTTATTGCAGTAGAAGCAGCGTTGATTAACCTATGTACATACAATATGTATATTTTATGTACAAACATGGTAGCTCGATTTTTATGTTTGCAAAATGTCATTTTTCATCCCGATTAACTTTAATTTTTAGTTTTTAAGACCAAAACATTTACTGCACGTTTGCGATTAGCGATTTTAATTTCATTTTTAATACAATTTATTAACATATTTTTCATAAAAAAATTTTATTAACGTTTTCATGAAAATTTACGAAACACAAATCATTAACAGGATATTGATTTATCATGTCCTTCAAAAAAAAAAAATTTATCCGTTTTATTATCCCTTTTCTAATTATAATTTACGACCTTCATTTTCTGTTTCTCTTATTATTTTTTTCTATAAATGAAACAAAAATTTCATTTTTCGTTTATTACTTTGTTGCTTCTGTTTATATAAATTGAGTTTTAATTGGAAGGTTCAAAATAACTTTTTGATGTTTAAGGATATAGAAAGATAATTTAATTTTTTTTAATATATATGTATATATAGTTATTGCTATTTCTGGTTTTCTTTTTGCTGTTTTTGACCTCAAGAATATATATATACAAAAAACACTGTATAGAGATTCGAATATTTTTTAAAGATAAATCTCTAATTATTTTTCTTGTTTGTATTTCTTTACTTCACTCATTCTACCGTTTGTGATATTTTTCTAATTCCATTCATTTATTTGCAGATTTTGTGGGTTTTTGTATATAGCCGATAATAAAATAGTATCAAGTATTATAAAGGGTTTTTCAATAGGTATACGATACTACAATTAAAATGTTTGAAAATAAGGAATGATAAAACATCAGCTGAATGGATTATCAAAAGATTATCGCATCTTGAATTTTCTGCCAATTTTATTAGAATAAAATATTTCTATAATTTATTAAGCAATAATTTTGTTTAGAAATTTTTTAACCATGACTGAATTGAAGGTGAAATTAGTTCTAATCTTCATTAAACTTATTCACACACTAGAATTCCATAAAATTATTTTAGAAACAAAAACCATTTTCGATTTTCTTTTCTTTTTTTAACTGGATTTCTTAAAATTTTTTTAAAACAAGAAGTGAATTGAATATTCAAAAAATTTTCTTCGAAGAAAATTTTTTTCAATTCGCTAAGGAAAATAGCTTCACTATTCATACTATAATAATTCAAATACGTATCTGAATATAAAATACTATTCTAACCCGCAGAATATCTAAGATTAATTTTTCATTTTTGAAATCATATTAAAGTTTCCTTAAAAAGTTCATCACATATTTAGTTTGAAACTCAATGTTTTGTATTATTGAAATTATAAATTTTGGAGGGTCATGTTCAATTTTTTTATTCGATAATATATATATATATATATATATATATATTTCAAATGTCGAACTTTTAAAAAAATCTTGCAGTTCTCTTGCGATACCTGTTTTCGGGATAAAAAATTCTGTTGTTTTATATAAATTTATTTTGCCGCATAATAAAATTTTGAAAGATTAAAAGAAATTCTATTCTGATGTTGTGTGATATTTTCTAAAAAATTTTTCCTTGAAGCATTCGCAACACAAATTATAAACATTAAGATAAAATTTAGGATACCTACTTCATATTTATTCAACAGCAAGTTACTTTTTTTCCAGCCCAAATTCTACTTAAGTAATAATGCCTATGCTTAACGATTTAATTTACAAAAGTATAATTGAGGTCCTTTGAAGGGATTTCTTCTGGGGGAAATTTAAAAAGAAATGTAAACATTTTTTAATATCAAAATCATCATCATAAGCATCATTATTATCATTATTTTTTTTTAGTAAAAATAAGTTTGGAAATTCAAAGTGAAAATATGGAAATTTTTTTCATTTGAAATGATAAAATGGAAAATATAAAATATCCACATTCATACACAATCTGTTCGTATATACAAACACATAGCATATATTTCCTTTGGAGTTCCAATTTTTCTACCTTTCTTTGAAGAAATTTTTCTTATTATTATTTTATTTCATTTTTAAAAGGAAGCTGAAAGAAGAAAGGGCAGAAAAGTTGAATTTCGTACTTAAATGTAAAAAAAATTGAATGATTTTTTTTCTGTTCGCAATTCCTTTGCAGGTTTTGCATTTACAAATTTATTTTGATTAATTTGGAGTAGACGTTTTATGCAAGTTCAGCAGCAGTTTTATGGAATTTTGTTTTCATAAAATTTTCTTTTTAAATTCAAAGCAAGCCAAAATCATTTTCTGTTTTTGTAATGGCAGGTATAATATTTTATTCAATATTGCAACAGATTTTTCGTATGTATGTATGTATGTATGTATTTCTTTTTTTTTTTTTTGCAAAAATTTCCTGAATAACCTAAGCGAGTTGAATTACTTTGGCGACCTACTAAACTTGAGCTACATGTATGTATATATTTAATTTTAGGGAAGTTATAACTTACCGACGAAATATATAGAATAAAAATACATACATAGTATGTATGTATGGCCAGACAGCATATTCTTTCTTTTATTCTACCAAATTCTAATTTTAATAACCATTTTTTTACAATTTCGCAATACATAACAATTCCTGTAAGATACAAACTTAAATAATCTATTGTTCGATCCGCGCAATATTATTTTTTCAAAATATTAATAATTTTCAATCAACTTTCTTATATACTTTTATGATTTTCAAAATATTTTTTGAACCACGAAAAACAGTTTATTATTTCTTTAGTAGACTACAGCACAAACGAGACGATGCAAAACAAGGGTAAAATATTTAAAGCAATGTGATAAAAGTGCATACGTTTGCTTATCCTCTGTACAAAATGTTTACATTGGTGACTGTTGAGCATAACTGTTGAGTATCTACAACATTTTAATGATAGAATTGCCATGTTAAAAAGAATTTGAATCTGCTAGATTTACAAAAAAATATTCAAGTTCTCCTAGAATTGTATAAAATTAAATTTATGTTTCCTTAATTGTTGTTAATATATTGTAGCATATTTTATGGCAATATGTCTTTCGTACATATATATATATATATATGTATGTATGCAGGTAGCGCATTTAGTGTTTTATTCAAAAGAAATAATATGTGTTTATACACAAACAAACATTAACAAAACTGCTCAAATATGTACCTACTCTGTTCATATTTCAAAATTGTTATAATTTTATTCCAACTATTATGGAGAAACTGTACAACTACATTATATGGATGAGAAATTTATTCAAAATTGAAAAACACTTTTTTTTCAATACCTTCGTAACAAAATATTTGAAAAATAATGCTCTTTTAATTTTTTTTCATGCATTGCAATGACAGAAATATGGCAATTTTTTTAAAAAGCCGGTAACTCCAATTACTTTCTATAAAATTGTGTTAGTGAATTAAAATAAAAATAATATACACATATAATTATATTCTGCCGAGTGTATGTTGGAAGGGTATTATAAATTTGATACTCAACTTGTAATGCTAAGAAATAACAGTCTAAGGCACAACCATATGTTTTTGGTCTACGTCGATAACTCAAAAACTAATTGAGTTAACTTTCTGGAATTGGGTATGATCGAAGCAGCAATTCCAGTACCTGCCGTACAATTTCAAAAGTGATGTGCCCATTTATCAAAAACCATAAACATTATTGTATTAAAATTTCGAATATGTAAATATACTATTAAGGTTTGACATTGTGACAGCTATCATACAACCTCAAAAGTTATTTGTTCATATCTCAATAACCAGTGAAATTATAGAATTGCAATTTCATGCAAATAAATATATTGTAATGGCTCTTATGTTAAAAAAATCATTAAAATTGTATGACTTCAAATTTTATTTGTCTAACTGTTTGATTTACGGCAACATGTTAACGTGGCCATTCTTTTCGGTAAAATTTTTTTATATTGTACATTTTTAAACTATATTCAGTCATATTACGTAAAAATACAAACAACAAGTCAAAAGTAATAATTTATGTGTATATAAAACAACAAAAGGTTGTATGAAGCAATGCGTTAATATTATACAACTCCTTCAATTGATTGGTCGCTCGGGTTTCTCAGAGCTGACAAGGTCAACTCTTCTACCTCTATTTTGTTTTGATTTCGATTTGTGAATAAAATATTTTTTATCTTTTTGTTTTGTTGTTCGCTAAGTTATTTTCATTGCATTGTTTATTTCATAGATTTTTTTTTTTAGACTGTAAAATATAGTTTATGTGTGAATGTTTGTATATTATATAAATATACCGTAATCGTAAAAATTATGTGTAATGTGTATGTGTTACTACTAGATTATTTTTTTTTGAAATTTTATATTTACAGTTATAACTCACAGAAGATTTATTTGGAAAATTGTATAAGTGTGGGAAAGACGCGGAAGAAATCATACTTACCTGGCGCAGAGGTTTTCCGTGATCAACAAGGCGGATCCTCCGAGGTGAGGTCTTGTCATTGCACTTAGACGAGATTGACCCTCGCGATTATTCCTAATGCGAATAACTCGTGCGTGTAATTTTTGGTAGCCGGGAATGGCGTTCGCGCCGTCCCGACATAATTATTTCAAAATAAGTAGATGTATATTTATGTGAGTAATAAATTTAAATGGTTTTGTTTTTTTTTTGTTAAACCTGACATTTAGTACCCATTTTTGATCAATGTTTTTTGTTTTATTTTACCTACAATTTAAGTTCAATTGCGGGGATTCTATGAAAAATTTTACTTTGTTTATTTTACACATTGGTTACTTTTCATTAAATTGAAAATCTTCACATAATAGGAAAAATCAAAATAAGTGGCGTTTCCCCGTATTTGTCTCGTCTATTTCTTATATAAATAATACACGTTAAGAAGTTGTCGAGTCTAGTCTACCACTAATCTGTTCTTTTTTGCAGCATATTTGTAAAGTAAATTTTCTCAATTATAAATACTTTTTAATTGAATTTTCAAATCTGTTAGTGCATTGAAATTTAAAATAATATAGAAGAATACGTTATTACGTAAATCATCAATATATCACGTACTGTGATTTGAGGTTAGAATAACGCTTATACAAATAAAAGTATTTGCACCGAAAGGGATATTGAAAAAAGAGTGAAAGAAGAATTTTACATTTTCATAAATTTTCGAAGAAACAAATTTAATGAAGTTTAGAAATTTCATAATTACGTACTTGATTTACCAGGGGATATCCTTTGATAAATATATAATTAACTCGTAAGTTTTAAATTATAGCAAAACGTAAAATCTGATTCATAAAGGGGGTAAATTGGGAATTCGCTTTGAATATTATAAATTTTATTTTGTTTGTACATACAGACACATACATATATAACGTACATATTTATAAATTAACTTTGATGTTACTAAAATAATGCAAATATTTAATTGGGTTTCATGAAAGTTTGATGTAACAATTTCCAAATGTGGACGTTCATATGTATATATGTATGTACGTAGATATGTACGTAATTTTGTGAATGCATACTCGTAAATTACATTTCATAATGATTTTATACAGTTTGTTTTAACTACAATGTATAACATTTTACAAAGTTTTATTGACATGAAGGAACTGACCTTAATAGTTTTTTAAAATCATTTGTTGAATTGTAGTAAATCGTGTTATGTTAAATGGACTATAATGCAAGTACAATACACACACTATTATGTACGGTTTTCCAAAAGTTTTTGCTTGCCGATTTCCTTTGAAAAGAAATTAATAAAAAAAAATTCTCAGTCTTAAAAAACGAAAAATTCAAAGCGGTAAATACCAAAAATTCTATGAACTCTTAAAATATTTGAAGTATAATGCACAATTTAGTATCCTGGAAATAAATAAATAAATAAATAAGTAATTAAATTGAAACTGTTCTACTACTGATAGCAAAAATTTATATTTGGCAGTGAAAAAATAAAATATGGAAAGTGAAGCCACTTGCCGATGCTGTGGGGAAGGTGGGGAGATTTTAATACATCTTCTAGGAGAATGTTGCGCTCTCGCTCTCGCTTTTACCCCGATTGTATGGTAGTCTACAAAATCTACAAATGTGTGTAACTATCAATCATATCGTAAAAATTAAGTATTAGGAACTAAGCCGTTCAAAGACGTTTGCATTTCTACTGCTTATATAAGGGATTGATATTACTTTCAGTGTTACTTAAATTTTGTACGTTAATAAATTTGCCGTTGTGCTTTCACTTTTAAATATGTGTGTACATATTTATTATCTATTCTATCTTATTACTAAAATATTATGTATTTATTCTATAAAGAGATATGTATGCCAGTTTTCGCTTTCATTTACCTACTTACATACATACCCGCAAATATGCTGATTAATGGACGTGTTAATAAACGCTAAAATAACCGCAAAAGTTGTTACTTTATTACACAAGGTTTGATTATTATGTACATACTTGCAAATGCTAATATTTAATTGGCATGCTGAAAGTAAAATAAAAACATTTTCATACCTACTTACATATGTGTAAATGCTGTATAAAAATTTACAATTATTTGGACAAAATATAAAAGAGTACCGTAAACAATATTAATCGCATGGCAATTCATTGTAAGAAAATATTTATATAACTCACATCAAGTTCATGATCAACTTATGCTATACACGCGATATAATATGTATCCATGTTGGTAACATACGTTGGTTATGTGTGTTTATATAAACGAAAACCAGTAACACCGTATGTTTGATATAAAAATTGTGAAACACTGTTGTGTAGGATTGGTTTATACCTACATTATGTAGATACATGAATTAAATTTAATATTCGTAGTCAATCAGTCATCACGTCGAGTTTTTTTTAACTTTTAATGATATGAAAGTGTTAGTAATATCGATGATCAGTCATTTTGTCGTTGTGTATGTATGTATACATTAATTTATAAGTATAAATTTATCATCATTATTTTATTATTGGTGAATGGTGATATATGAAACTTCTCATAATTATATTGGATATTGAGATAAAAGCAATTGTTTTTCTAACAGTAAAGTTTGTATGTGAGTTATTTTTACCTGAGATTATTTGAGTATGAAAATCTGTATATTTTGGGTTAATCTTACTTTTTGATTTCTTCGATATTGATTTTTTTTAAATCGATTTTGACTTGTAAATAATAATAATAGTAGTTGACCAAAAATGAATGTAGTTTATGTGGCTGGTATAGCAAGTTATTTTTTGTGTGCAACTGCAACTAAATTTAACTGAAGAATGACATACATACATGTATATTATGTTTTTACATTTATCTGTATGTTAGAGGATAAGATTGTTTTATTGACAATATTAGAATCCCACTGAAAATTTTTCTACTCGTCATTAAATTTTGTGTAAAATTATGAAATTTTCAATGAAAATCCTGTCAAAATACGAATTCTTTCTATATTAAGTTTAAGAGGGTTCTACCCTTAACATTTTCATTATGGCTAAACTTAGCAATTTGAAAAGAAGTGAAAGCAAAATTTGACAAATAAAATTTTCGAAATTTATAGGTACATACTTACTTTGCATATTTCAGTTTGTTTGGTTTCGATTTGCAATTAGGGTTAATGTTTTGAGAAAAGCTATTGACTTTTAGATTTTAGTTGTTTTAGAAATGTTATTTAAAAATAATTAGCTATTATTACGAAAAATCTCTCAGTAACCATAAATTGTACTTATACACGAATTTTTTATAGAATTAGGGTCCTAGAACAGTGGAATTATGTTTAGAATATTATATTAAAAAATTTTCCTTTCTGTAACAAAATTGACCCTTATTATTTTATCAAAAAACTATGCACCTAGCACACAAACAAATATACGTCTATATGTACTTGAAATTAGTTGAAGTTAACTTTTCAGCTAATTTAATTTACATTAAGCCTTCTAATTTCCAGGAAAAAGCTTTTATTTATTATAAATAATTGCAGAAACTGTTATAATCTAAGTCAAAGAACGCATTACATTTGAAAACAAGTTTGTTAATTTTTTTCTCTAATTAATGATTGCGTCCTATTGTTAAAATATCGTGGTATAGTAAAACAGTAATTTATATAAGAGAAACTGTTTAAAAAAATTTTGAGTGAATGAAACAAAAACTGGTAAGGTGACATTTTCAAACTTTTATATTATTCTAATTCTATTATTATTAAACTTGAAATTGAAGCTGGTTATAGGTTAGAGTGTACAATTCTATTATGGATTTAATTAGCATATTATGATGAGAAAAATGATGAAGATCTTTTATTACTAAATATGGATGTACATATGTACACACATGTATACAAGTGCTTACTTTTATACAATTTTATGAGTATTTTATATATCGATGTTCGTTATTTAAATTAAGAATTCGATTTCGTTGATGTTGAATATGTTATTTTTGTTCTTTTGTTTGTTTTTTTTTTTCCTTTTCATATCGAATATTGTACGTACATAGGTACATACATATTATATTTAATTTTTTATGTTATATAGTGTTATATACGTATACGTATGTATTACGTATGTGTTCATAGATTATAATTTTTTGAGGAAGAAATTTAAAAAAAAAAATTTCAATTCAGTTTTTTATTAATTGGGCTAGAACATAGACGAGTTTTTTTTTCTATAATAGTATCGAATAAGTTTTGAAAGTGATTAATACAGGTGAATTCATTAAACGCGCAAATTATTAATATAAAATATAATATTAGGTTAGTATCAATATTGCATTAGGTAATTTTCAAATTAATTTTCATTACACCGGATTAATTGTAATGTGAATGTGAATGTTTTTTTTTAAATTTAAGCTCTGCCGTAGGACCAAAATAAAGTCATTAAAAAATTATTATTTAATGTCAAAATAAATTAGTTATAACATTTTGTCTACATATGTCAATTGTCACTAATATTGTTCTGATTATAAAACAATAATTATTCGGTGAATGTCATTGTTAGTTACAAAAATTAAAACAACTTTTATACACGAATAAATCAAACAATACTTCAAAAAGGAAAGTTTGTTTTCTACATATGTATGCATGTGAAAAGCCGTCAAATAATAATAATTAATTTTAACAATTAGAATTGTGTATGTAGCTATATAGTATAGTGCTGTACAGAAGAATATTTTTATAGTTACACAATAGAACTACTTTTTTTAGTGGCTATTTTAAATTTGAAAACTTAATACTGCTAGCGACCCTTAGAAAAGTAGCTTGTTGAACATATTATGTATATACGCAATACTATTACTAAAAATTGTAATTCCAATTGTAAATATCCTGTAATTTCTATGAGGTGTGTATCTAATAAAAATACTAAAAATCTTGCTTTTGCTTCGTTATAATTTTAATTTCGAATTTATGAATGAAATTGTTTAACACTATTACAGGAAATCTTAAATTATTTGTACATACATTTATGTATTTATAGATTTACAATATCATTAGCAAGAAGTACACTAGAAAATTGTAAATGTTTATTAAGTAAATTAGTAAATGAAATAATTATCAAAAAAATATTAATCAAGTAAAAGTCTTTTGTCTTTTGATTGCTTCGATCAATCGATACTGTTACAAGAAGAATTCAAAATATTAAAAATTATATAAAAAAAATTGAAATTATTTAATTTTTTAAAATTATAGTTTCTTTTATTTTCCACTATAATTAATATTATATATTTGTTTATGTATGTATGTATATGTAAGTGACTTTTAAAAATGACTGTGGCTCATTTCAAATTTATTTATGCAAATTAATACGAAAATAAAAAAGCAAAATAGAAGTGTTCTCAGTTGGTATTTTGTAATATTTTATGCTTGATTTGGGAATCAAAATATTTTAATAACAATCGTTTTATTGATTTAAAAGCTTTTCATAATATTTTCTTGCTTTGGCCTTTTACATTTTAATTTTAAAATTTTTAATTTTTTTACTTTTTAAAATGATTGTATTTATTCAGGTTTTTTTTACGATTTTACTTTGACGTTTTATAGTTCTCTTGACTGTTGAATGTATGTATGTATACATGTGTATAGTGTTTATTTTTATTAACATGCCCTTATGTACAAAATATATTTCACATTATATTGTAGGTCTGCTCAAGCGAACCTCATTTTATGTTAAAGAAAAATTAGGAGATTATCTTTGCAGTTATGATTTTGATTGATTAATAAATTAATTTTGTTTTGTTTTCTAATTTTCATTTTAACCAAATTCATTTTTTGCTAGTGGGATGAATTGAATTTTTGTTGGCCTACTTGTTGCTTGTTTTTCACTTTGTGTTATTCTCAGTTTTTGTGAATACGAATACCTACTCTCAAAATCTCTCTCACGTGTGACCTGAATTTTCTTGTATTTTTGTTTTTACTTACAGCAAACAATAAGAGAGGTATTGTGATCTTACCAAATTCCACATGCCGCGATTTCGTATGTGTACGCGCATTTCGTATGTGAACCTCCCTTTCGAAAATGGTTTGAGTAGTTGCAAATTAAACATTTGAGTTTAATTTCTAGATTTTAATTAATTAGGGATTATACATGCCTATATATTAAAGTTCTAATATTTGGTAAATTATCTAATAAAATTCTTGGAGAAATCTTCACGGAGATTATGTACAACTCCAACCAATTTTGAAATTTAAAATAAGGTTACTTGTATTTTTGTTTTCTAAAATAATTCTTTTTGCTGTGCATTCGATCATGTTATGTTCATCACAAATTTTCTTGTTTCTGTTAACTAATCAAAATCTTTTTGGTAGGTTTATTATGATTTATTATGTAAATTGTTATTTCCTAATTGAAGAATAAATAGATAAAATATTATTGAGTTATTTTAAGTTGTCAAAAAATGTTTTGCTAAACTTAATATGGAAAATTCGTTAGGTAACAAACATGCGAAACATTTTGTTCGCTTAGGTGTTGCATTGCAATCGTAAGAAGAGTTAAAATTTTTGACTTTAAGTAACGAGTTAATGTTTGGACTGAATCTAAGCACGCTTCTGTAGTATACCTACTTCATACGAGATCATTGATCTTTTTCGGTTTTCTGTTCAGACTGAAAATGATTTTGAGAAACTTTTAAAATATATATTTAATTAAATATTCTTTTTTATTCAAGTGACCATTCCCAATACAAAATAAATTTTGCAAAAATTTTTGAAAGCTATAAACCAGTCTTCTACGAAATTTCTTTTAATATACAATAAAGTTTGATTATACAAGTTTTACCGTCCTTTATTATTGTAAAATTTTCATTTTCTAAATTTAAAAAAAAATTTAATAAATCTATAGGGTGCGGCTCATAGCAAAATTTTTGTAAAGTTCAATAATATCATATAATTATACTGTTAAATTAACTTATGTGAACTTATTTTTTATTCTTTAGGGTTAGACATCAATCGTATATAAATTTTGATTATTAATTTCAAAAGTTTTCCAAACAAACCTATAAAAAATTTAACAATCAAAAAGAAGTTCATTAACATCATCGGTTTCAAATATGATGCGAATATTTTTATATACAGCAGTACTTTTATGTTTATCATATCAAGTAAATCCTGAAGTTTTTACAGCCATGACAGATATGGAAGATTTATTAGATACTGAATTAGCTTTAATACATAATTTAGAAGAATACATTAACATGCAAGAGAAAAGATTAGAATTTTTAAAATTGTAAGTATAAATACAATAAAATTATTTTTGAAGCGATACTTTTGAATTTTTTAAATGTATTTACTTTCTTACATTAATATAGGAAAGTTACTGAATATCAAAAGGAGCATAATGAAGCTACAGAGGATGTTGCAACATATCTTGCAAATCCAATAAATGCTTATCTGTTAACAAAACGTTTAACATCAGACTGGTCACAAATTGAAAATTTAATTCAAGAAACAAGCGATAGTATGTATTAACTCTTTATTTAAAGTTTATATTCAAAATTATTTTTATCATTTTATAGGACTTATAAAAAATATAACAGATCATAAAAATGTGTTAAAATTTCCGTCCGATGAAGACTTGAATGGCGCAGCAGTAGCTTTGATACGTCTTCAAGATACATACAGATTGGATACCTCAAGTGTTGCCAGAGGTGAATTAAATGGTATTCAATATAGGTAAAAGTCTAAAGATTATTTTGATATTTTTAAAAATGTGAAAATATTTTTGTTTGTACTTTAAGTACTGAACTAAGTTCAGATGATTGTTTTGAACTTGGCCGACAGGCATACAAAAATGGTGACTATCATCATACTATTTTGTGGATGCAAGAGGCTTTAGATAAAATTGAAAATGATAAAGAGTTTGCTTACACCAATATCGAAAATCAAACAGTGAAAACATTGAAAGTAAAAATTTTGGAATACTTGTCATTTTCGGTTTATAAAAAGGGTAAGTCTTAGAATATTTTCCAGCATATTTTAATGGGAAGCCAATATTTTAATCATTAGTTTTGACTGAAAAGTTAGTACGAGTATGCTGTAAACGGTCACACTTAATTAATTAATATTAAAAAAGAAATGGAAATGTTGCTTTACTAACTATATATTTTTCTTTATTATTAAACATTTCCATACTTTAACTATTTGTACATAAGTATATATGTGTGTATTAAGTAAAACCATGTAAAGTAATAGGAAGATAACAGGTGCACGAATCTTTTATTTATATTTAAGGTATAGTCAATTTAATAGGAATTTAAATCTATGCATGCATGTGCGTGTATTTGAGTAGAATAGAAGAATATTAAAGTTTATTTTTCATTTGTCTTTAGAAGCGCAAATATTTTTATTTTTAAACTAAGAAAAAACAAAAATTTTATTATAGTATAGAACTGCAAAACGATTTTTAATACACAATTTACTTAATTATAAAGGTAGCCAAGAAATCTTTTTGTGATTATAGCAATAATTTTATAGTGTAAGCATGTGTGCAAAAGGTGAGTCTTCTGAGTTTTGTAATTAAAGGATATTTTCTATTACATATTGTGTAAAGGAGAAAATTTATTTTCTTAATTAAAGGAGAATAGTAAAAAATCAATAGTTTTAATGAGGTTGAGATTCATTAAATTAATATAGGTTGGTAACACTTTTAATTATGCGTAAAAATAAAAATTATAGGTGAATAAATAAAATTATCAGTAGTAAAACAATAAATTAATTTGCAAATTCAAAATTTCTAGAATTGTAGGTAAATCATGGAAGTTTTCGATGTGCTTGTCTGTTATGATTTCTCTAATATTTTAGAACAGTATTTTATGGCTTATGTTGTTCATTAATTAAGTTGTTGTTGAGTTAATTTTCATTGTTTTTATAAAACTTTAATTATTTATTATTATTTTTAGGCAATCTTGCTGAAGCTTTAGCTCTAAATGATCAAATACTAGAAATTGATCCGAGCAATGAGCAGGGTACCGGAAATAAATATTGGTTTAATAAAGAACTAAAAGAAGCTGAAGCGAAAAAACTTGAATTTAGTTCAGTTCGAGGCGATACTGGAGACTCTAATGTATTTCGTGAGGTTAGTAAATTTTACATAGTTTGTGTTGTTTCGGTCCTTAAACATAAAAATCTTTCTTTTTAATTTCAGTCTCTAAATGTTGAAAAGTTGGAAAATTTAGATCATTTGAATTATGAAAAGCTATGTCGTGGTGATATAACACCTACACCTACTGAATTAAGATCGATGAAATGTTATTATATTCACAATAATGTCCCATTTTTAAGAATAGCACCTATTAAAGTTGAAGTGGCAAATAAAAGTCCACGTCTTTTGATATTCCATGACGTAATTACAGATTCAGAAATTGATAAAGTTATTGAAATTGGTAAACCAAGATTGCAACGGGCAACGGCACGTGAATCTACAGGCTATGTACCAGTAAAATATAGAATAAGTAAATCTGGATGGATTAGTCACGATGAAGATCCATTGATAACGAGTATTATACAAAGAGTGTCTGATATGACTATGCTAACAACTGAAAGTGCAGAAGATTTACAAGTATGTAATTATGGTATTGGTGGACATTATGAACCTCATTTTGATTTTACTACTGGCACTGTAAGGAACACGTTTTAATATTAATGTATCGATACAATTTTTTAATTTATTTCTTATAATATTTTACATATAGCCTACTTATGAAAATGAAAGATGGCAACGTGATGGAAACAGAATTGCAACAGTTTTGTTTTATGTAAGATGAGATTTTATAATAAAACTTGGTTTAAATATAACTGATAATAATTTATTTAAACAGATGAGTGATGTCCCACAAGGTGGTTCTACTGTTTTTCCAGCTATTGGTAAATCTGTATGGCCGAAAAAAGGCTCAGCCGCATTTTGGTTTAATTTATTTGCAGATGGCGAAGGTGACTTACGTACGAAACATGCAGCTTGCCCTGTATTAACTGGATCGAAATGGGGTAACACATCTACATAATATATAAAAATCAAATTTTATAAAATTTTAAGATTTTAATTCGAAAATTTTCTTTTTATAATAGTTGCAAATTTATGGATACATGAACGTGGACAAGTATGTTATCCAGACAGTTTTCAGGAGAGAAGTATTCCAAAAACATAAGGGCGTTTTTCGAATGTTATACATTTTAAAATAATTTGAAGTTAGCTAAAAAAAAGGAAAATTGTTTATCAATCTTTTGAATTTGAAAAGAACTGATTTGTTTCTAGAGTTTTTTAAGTTTTTTAATATAAGAATTATAAAATGATATTTTTAGTAATAAAATGAAGTATTTGTTTTATTTTCGTGGAGAAATGAAATGGAAGCATCATAAATTTCAGTACAAAAATATTTATCGAAAAAGTTTTTTTTTTCTTGAACGTCCTTTTTAGAGTTAAAAGAGCTGTAACGGAAAAATTTTAAGTTTCATTATTAAAGCCTACAATCATATTGATTTTGTTGAGAAAAAAAAACAGCAAAATATTTTTCTACGCTTCTGCTATTTCGTACAAGTGCAATCTTCAGTATTAATATAAATTTCGTGTATAAGGATTTCATATAGAACCGAATTTAACTAAGTATTAATACTTGAATTTTATGTATATAACTTGAATAGTTTATTTTATTTACGTTCTCATCAAGTTGGAACTACATATGTGACTAGTTTTCGATTTATTTTGTGACACATTCTTATGCAGTATATACAGTTCTATAAATATTTACCAAATTTTTGTATGTCCCGTAGTCATTTTGCACATATCGTATAATTTATACAGAGTACCATTAAGCCTTCAATTAATATATCAAGTTTTGCTCAAATAATCTTCATACGTTGTTATCAAATATTGATTGTATATATAGATATAAAGGATGAGTGAGTTTATAAGTCATATAAGTCATACATACATAGTCTGTGTATGCTAGATATTTACTAGAGAAGTAAATATTTTAACATATGGTTTTGACTGTACCGCAAATTCTGTAATCAATTTACGTACTTAATAATAAAAAGAAAATAGCTAGCTGCTTTGAAATTTTTTTGTTCTGCTTAAATTCACAACATTGTTATAATTTATATTAAAGTAAAGTCTAAAGAAGAAAAATAATTGATTCTATATTAGTCTTCTTAACAAAATAAAACTGTGTTCTTTTTTTTTCTATATTATTTAAAAGCTTTTATAGAATTTTCACATAAATTTGAATTTTATGTTTGCTATCATTCACAGGTTTCAAAATATGTGTAGATCTAAAATGATTTGAATTTAGCCAAATTTGATCATTTACGTATAAAAATTCGTGTATGTATTATCCTTACAAACTGAACTAGTATAACAGGATATTTAATAATTTTTCCTTCTAAAATAAAATTTTTAAAGTTTTATTTGAATTTTGATTTGAAGAAACTAAATTGATCGGTGTTTTTCCCGTTTTTAGCTTTCTTTGAAAGATTTACAAACCAATTTTATATGAATACGTAGATATGTAAGTATATGTAAGTATGTATTTGCATTAATTAATAATTTACATTGTTATTTAAAGGGTAAGTATAACAGAATATTAAGATGAGTTTATATTTCTCAGATAAGTTAAGGTATGCTATCAAATCTATATAAAAAAAAAAGACAAAACTTCATTTCATACACAATATTTCAATGGCCAATATTTAGTATAGAGTAAGCGATGATTAGTCAGTCTTTTCAATTCTGTTCTAGTGCTAGCACACGTTAACAAAGAAAAAACGAATTAAAAAATTAAAAAACTAAAAAGATACATAAAGAGAAAAAAAATCAATAATTTGGAGAAAAGTTTAAATTTTCTATATTTAATTTTCTATGAATATTTATGTAATTAAAAGGGAAAAAGAAAAGGTGCTTTTATATTTTTATTATCATATTTTTGTAATAAAAATTTTAATATTAAAATTTTTTATGTTTATACGGAAACTAGATAAAAGGGAAGACTTTTGTTTCATAGGAATTTTAATTTTTATATTTTTTTTTTCTATTAATCCAATGGTTATAAAATCAGAAATTTTAAGAATAAAAATTACTACATATAAAGTTTAATGAGAATGTTGTGAATTTCAGTGCTTCGTGTAATAATTTTACATTAATCCTTTTCATATTGTTTGAGTTAATTAGGTGATTTTTAAACAAAAAAGTGTGTTAAAAGTTATCCATAGAAAATAATTTGATTTATGCTAAAAATGGATTACTTTAATTAAAGAAAATATTGAAAAAATCCTTTTAAATTAATTAACACCTGTAGCACAAATTATCGAAAATTATTCTGTTTAATTACAAATTATTTAAGAGTACATATATAGTGATCTAGATTCCTTCTTAGTTACTTTTGAATTTCACGAAAATGAGGAATTTTTTTTTTAATTATTGTAATGAATAACACTTTCTTAAGGTCAAATTTAATATAAATTCCGTAGGAATATCCTAATTCCCTCCTTCACTTATTGTACAATTTAATATTACAATTTTTTTTCTTATAGTTTTATAAAAATTTTAATAAAATTTCAACTTATAATTTTTCAGTGTAATTAAGTATGAAGTGTATTACAAGTATTCTAGTATTTGCTTTATTCCTTTTGAATAATTGTCATTTCGGAGGAACTAGTCTTTATTTATCTTTAACAGATATGGAAGATCTTTTAGATGCTGAAAAAGCAATGATTGATGGTTTAGAACAATATATTGAGATTGAAGAAAGGAGAGTTTTGGAATTAAAATTGTAAAGAATGAATTTGTTTGTAATATATGTATGTACATATGTAGTTAAGTATTGTGTTTAAATTTTTAGAAAATTTCAAAAACATCAAAATGAGTACATAGAGAAGAAAAATCAATCTGAATCACATATATTAAATCCAATAAATGCTTATTTGTTAACAAAACATTTGACACAAGATTGGAAAAAAATTGAAGATATAATGATTGATGATCAAGGAGGAAGTAAGTAGACATTAACTAATTTTGCCCATGCTTTGAATTTAACCAATCACCTTCCAAAAGCACTGTGTCTTATTACAATGCTTTCATTTTGTAATTTATGCAATTTTTTTTAAAAGTTTTTTCTTTTAATATTGTTCAGCCTGTACATATGCAATTTATTAAGATGTTATTTTGGTTTTGTTTTTTTTAGATATTATTAAAAATGTGGTGAATAAAAGTGATAATGTAATATTCCCAACAGAAGAAGATTTGGAAGGTGCAGCAGTTGCATTGATTCGGCTTCAAAAAGTTTATAATTTGAATGCCCAAGATGTCGCAAATGGTCTATTAAATGGAATTAATTTTAAGTAAATGTTTGTTATTAACATTAAGAGATTTTGTTTTATGAAAGTGTTTAATGCTATTTTGCTTGGATCATAATTTTCAGTAAAGAACTTAGTGCAAATGATTGTTTTCAAATTGGAAAATCTGCTTATAATGACAATGATTTTGAAAGAACTGTTCATTGGATGACAATAGCTTTAGAAAAGTTACCATTACAAGAAACGGACAATATAATGATGCCATATATCGAAAAATCGAACATTTTAGAATATTTAGCGTTTTCGATTTACAAAACTGGTAGGTAGTCAATAATAAAATTTAAAAAATAAAATTGTATTTTTATTTTATTAAATTAGGGGATATAAAAACTGCGTTAAAGAGAACGAAAGAATTATTAGATTTATCACCTGATCATAAAATGGCTAAGAATAACATTTATTATTTTGAGAAAGAAATGGAGGAAATGAGTCAATCATCATTAAATACTAGTATCGGGGTAAAAATATTAAATTATATCACAGTTAATAATGCCCAAGGAAAAACATTTAATTTTGTTTTTTTTTTTAGAGTTCAGAAAATTTAAATCCTCCAGATTATAATTCGTTAGATCTAACTGAAAAATATGAATTATTATGTCGTGGAGATGTAAAAATAACACCATCTGAAGAGCGAAAACTGAAATGTTTTTATACTGATAATAATATTCCATATTTGAAAATTGGTCCTCTCAAATGTGAAGAAGCATTTCTTGAACCAAAAGTCTTAATATTTTATGATATACTTTATGATTCTGAAATTGAACAGATTAAAATGATGGCAAAACCAAGATTAAATCGTGCCGGAGTTTTTGGAGATTCAAAACCAAAAATTCGTGTTAGTAAAACTAGTTGGATTTATCAAAATGAATATGATGAGAGTCTTAAAGCTGTTATTCGGCGTGCTGGTTTTTTAAGTCAATTAGATATGAGATCATCGGAAGCTTTGCAAATTTGTAATTATGGTATCGGTGGACACTATGAACCGCATGTTGATTATTCATTTGTTAGTGTTTCCGCTTTGTAAAAATTTTAAAATTTAAATTATTTGAAAAACTTATTTTAGGACCCAGAAGCATATGAATCTGATAGAACAGGAACAATTTTATTTTATGTAAAAAACAATTTTTTTATTATCAATTTTAGTACAGGTTATTAAAAATTTTTTTTTGCTTTTATATAGATGACGGATGTTCAACAAGGTGGTGCAACTGTTTTTACAGAATTAAAAAGAACTGTTTGGCCAAAAAAGGGTTCTGCCGTTTATTGGCATAATATGTACGATAGTGGCGAAGGAAACCCGAATACAAGACACGCTTCTTGTCCTGTACTAATTGGAAATAAATGGGGTAATTTTAAACTTAAAATGCTATTTGCTTGACAGTTCGCTTAATTTTAATTATTTTTCAATGTTTTAGTTGCAAATTTATGGGTCCATTCTCCAAATCAAGTATGTTGGAATGACTAGTACTTAAATTGACATAAATAATTTTTATGTAAAAATTTTGTGATAAGAAAATTGTTTTTGGTTAAAATATAAATTTTAATTTAAGAAGTTGTTCCCTTTTATTGAGAGATATTAATCCTTCAAGTATCATAGAGTCTAGAGGCCTCTTGTTGTATGTAAAACAAAGTCTACTCATATATACACATCATAGAGGTATTGTAGTATGGCACAGGTTGTCGAAATATTTGACAAATATGTTGTAACTTTTCAGTATTAATCGGTTTCCTGTAACTTAACATAAATTTCAAGTTTTTAATGTTAAGTTCTTTAAATAGCTTTTCTATCTCATATTGTCTAATTTTTTAAAAATGAACTTAATTAACAAATTTAAAGCAATAAAATTTTCATGTTGAACGTGAGCATTTCCAAATTTAAAAATACTTAACAAAGTTTACTTTGACCTTTTGTTTTTTCAATGAATTCAATGAAAGTCGACCGTCGAATTTCATGCAACCTTAGCAAAGCCTATGAATTTAAATAAATATATGGTTAAAATGTAATTAAATTGATGAAAATAGTTCACTTTACGAGCTATACTGAAGGATTTATTAATGAAAATTTTATCAACGATTCGTCACAATGCCCTCCTATGTGTAGGAATTGCCAATATTCTGAAAATGAAAATGTTAAGAACATAAACAAAAAATTTATGAAAATTCTTCAACACACAAACCTACTCATATTTCTACAATATATTTTTGATCATACGTCAACAGTCTGATATTGACGAAATTTGTAACCACAACAAATAACGCGATAATAAAAATAAACTTAAAAGGTAAGAAAGGTAAAGTATAACGGAGAGGTGATAATTTTTACTTTAATATTTTCTAAAAATATGAAAAGCGGTTTTTAGTTACAATAATCACTTCAATCCGAGAAGTTCTAAATATAGTTTAGTTTTTGAAATTCCAATATTGTTGAAACAAAAAAAAATATTGTGGATTCAAAAATCTATCCGCGAATAGAGAACTTTACTTCTATTGTTGTTTTTATTGTAAAAAGTTTTAAGGTGCAATTTTTTTTTTGTTTTTAATTTATTTTTGGTGTAAAGTTACGATCTAATCAATTTTGATAGCTTATGAGAATTTGTTTAAAAAAAATTAATTGGAAAAATTTTTGATTTTTAAAATTAAATTTATTTTTTTTTAAATTTATAGAGATTTCTAATCTTTTTATTAATGCTTAGGTGGCAATCATATTATTTACATTTGTACGTCAGTTTATGTAGTCAAATTTTACTTATGGTTGAAAATTATAATTTTTATTTAGTTTTGACAGCGTACTAATTTATTTGGTATATTAAGGCTGAGAATTAAAATTTTGTTAATTATAATTATTTTAAAAGGAAACAATAATTGTTAACATTGAGGAATGAATAACTGTTAATTATTGTAATTGTACGTAGTAGTTTAAATATGTTCAGAGATTTGGAGTATTTGGTTTTAATCTTTGTGTGGGTACATCATTGGATAAGATGTTATATTTTACAATTTTAAAATAAAAGCTGAGCTAATTTGACATTACAGCTCTAGGTATTTAATAAAAACGAAGAAAGTAGAGAAGAAGGGAGACGTTTTATTTGCGTCACTTGTGTGAGTAAGCATTGTTTAGTTTAATGAGCAGGGGTTTTTACTTTCTATTGATTTGTTAGTTTACATTATTTATATGCTCATATAATATGCAAAAGGAATAAATGTGAGGTTTCGCATATTTTCATTTAAACAAGTCACATGGACACAAAATCTTAAGTATTACGTTTTCTCCAAATTAACAAGTTTGAGAATTCAGAATGTGTAATAATTGTTTTTGTTTACATAGAATGAGAGCTTTCTCTGCATGATACCGCGTAATATTGTGGAAAATAGAAGAACATTAAATAATACACGTAATCAACTAAAGGATAGTCCGGCAATAAGACAGATTGACTAAATTTTTTTCAGAACTATTAAGGAAAATTTAAAATTATTTTAAATTACTTTTATTATCATAACATTTCAAACTAAATTCGGAACAGAATAAAAAAGGATATTTGAAAATGGATGTTTTTCGAAGTAAAGAAATTGTAGGCTTAATTTTTTTTTTTTTAATTGTTGTATTTTGAGAAAATCAATAATTTTTTCTCAATTTTGCTTTTAAAAAGTTCAAATAATTTGCGAATTACTCGTAAGTATTTGAATTCGACACACATGTGTATGTGTTCTACATACCTTTGACGACACTTGAAATGTACATATAAAAAATTCCAAATAAATGTTAAATATTTTAACCGCATTGCCCGATTTCATTTGCATATTTATGTTTTGTTTGGAACGTTGTTTGACCCCAGTGTTTATTGTGGTCACAATTAAATTTATAACGCCTATAATTTGCATGAAACTTCAGTTTCCGATTCAACTTTTTCTATGAAATGTTTAGATTAAGTTCTTCAATAGTTTTTAAAACTTGATATTGCTCTAAGTCGCTGCCCAGGTGTTTGAATGCAGTTACCTATTTGTGCATGCCTTTTTCAAATCATTTTCATGTTGAAATTTTATTGTTAACTGTGGCAAACGTTTTATATTGTTTTAGCTTCCATTTTGTTATCTTTGAAACTGTATTATGTGGCAGATTTCTATATTTTTTTATCGCTCTTGTTTTTTTTTGTTCTTTTTTTTAGTTTTAAAGATTAATCGTTAATATTCTTCGCTTATTAATTATCTACGTGACTAAGAATAACAATATTTTTTGGATATTTTTGATATTCGGAAATAAAATTTTCACTTGAATAAATATTTCTTTTCATTTTAATAATAGTTTCCAGTATTGTGAGTGGAAAGAAAGGGGGTCAGTAACATTTAGTAAAATTTATAAGATACTTAATTTACAATACAGCCAGCCTTATCGTTTATTAATTATTTTTTTACAAATGCTTCTTACAAATCGATTCTAATATTCGTCAGACTTGTGTTTTGAAAGAAATCGTTAAATTGATTGATTCATAAAGTGAAGGGGGCCGCAATAATTTTGGCTGCATAATATTTAAAAAATTGGTTTTAATATAAAAGTTTTTTTTTGAAAATTATGAAAGCCTATTACCATATTTTCTAATAAACTACAAAATTATTTATTGGTAATTTCGGTTCTATGTCAACAGAGTTGTAATATAAGGTCTCTCATTTAAAAATTTTTATAAATATCAAAAAATTCTTGTAAATACTCGTAGTTTTAAAATTTAACCATTAATACCTGCACTTACACCACGACTTTTGTATCAATAGAGCCTGATCGAGGCTTGACCCTTATCGAAAAGTTTTGCCGGTAAGGGGAATGAAATGTATGCCAATTATTGACGCAACAGTCGTCGTGTAAACATTACGTTTGTTAAATCAAAAATTTTGAATGGTTTTTCAATTCTTTCAGATTTAATGATTCAAAATGAATTTCAAAGATTATAGAATTCTCTTAGTATTATTTTTTGTAATTAGCTGTAACGATTTCGTGAAATCAGATCAATCAATAGAATTATTAAAAATGGAATCAGATATAATTAGTGGTTTAGAAAAATATATAAATGATTACGAAAACCAGCTGGAGAGATTGAAAAGGTACAAAGTTTGTAACATAATTTTGAAACTATTTTTGCTTGCTAACTAATAATTCGTTTTTGTTAAAAATTCAATATTGTAAAGCAATTTAGCGGATCTTCAAAAGGAACATGAAGAAGCAAATGAAGATGTGACTCGATATTTGTCAAATCCAATTAATGCTTATCTTTTAACAAAACGATTAACAACAGATTGGAAACATGTTGAAAGTATAATATCAGAAGATGAACATTTAGGTGTGTAATAATTTTTAGGAAATCTATATTAGGTTTTTCAGTTATGAGGTATTCGACTAAAATAATTTTCATTCTTTTCATTTCCAGAATTTTTTAAAAACTTAACATCCAATTTTGGAGCTGAAAGACTGCCAAACGAAGAGGATTTGCGAAATGAAATTCTCCGATTAGATCATTTACGTAAAACTTATGATTTACCAATTGCAGATGTTGCGAATGGTTATTTAGATGGAGTAAAATATAGGTATATATGATTTAGAGATAAATTATTAACGAACTAATCGAAAAAAGTCATTCTAATGTACATATTTGTTTTATGTAACTATATAATAGCGAACCTCTTAAAGCTGTTGATTGCTTCGAAATTGGAAGACAACTTTATTATGCAAATGAATTTCAATCATCTAAAGACTGGTTAGAATTAGCTATTAAGAAGTTTGATTATGGAGAGCTTATGGACACAGAAGATGGTGATCTTGCGAAAGCTTCAATTTTAGATTATTACTCAATGGCACACTACGAACTTGGTAAGTAACAAAGATAAAACTCTTATAGTATCCTTAAATTACTGCAGCATTGATTCCATATTTGTTTTTTATAGGAAACTATGACACAGCTTTGAATTTGGCTGGAGAAGCTGTAAAACTTTATCCAGAATTTGATCATATCAAACATAATATTAGAAAAATTCGTAGAGCTATGATGGAAGAGAAAGAAAAACAAACCACAGCTGGTGTTAAGAAAGAAAACGAACCAACTGTAACTGAAGATGAAATGAAGTATGAGAAAGGTTGTCGTGGTGATTTATTGAAATCGCCCGCTGAACTCAAAAATTTATATTGTGAAAATTATTTTGGAGAATCAGCATTTCTTAAATTAGCACCATTTAAATTGGAAGTACTTAACTTGAAACCAAAAATTGTCCTTGTACACGATATTTTATATGAAAATGAGATTGAAAAATTGATTAATATTACAAAAGGTCAAATGTCAACAGCAACTCTACTGGAGCAATATAAAGGTGTTAATGTTGCGTACCCAACACTAGAAAGTCAATATTATATGGTAGAAAATAGTGAAATATCACTTATTAGCAAATTAAATCAAAGATTCGCTGATGTTACTGGGTTGATTGTCAATAATGAAGGTGAAAATTTGCAAATTTCAAAATATAGCGTTGGAATGCATTTAGTTCCCCCAACTGATTATTTATTCAAGGTTCGTGATTCGACATTTCCTGCTTTGTGTTGATAATTATATGAACATTTTCCTTTTATAGGTTGATGATAAACCAATTGCTTTTAGCGAAGAGTTAGGTAATCGAATGGCAAGTGTTGTAGTTTATGTGAGTGTAATTAATAATGATGTTAAACGAGTTAATTAAAATTATGTACAATTTTTGAAATTAGTTAAATCATGTTGAGAAAGGTGGAGCGACATTGTTCCCGAGTATCAATACAATTGTTAAACCTGTAAAAGGTGCAGCATTATTCTGGTACAATATATTACCAAGTGGAGCAGTTGATTTTGATGTTCGACATATTGGATGTCCAGTTCTTAAAGGGAAGAAATGGGGTAAGTTTTAGATATTTTACTTGTAAATATTGAATAAATTTTGAAATTAATTAAATCTCATTTGATGCTATCAGTTCTTATGAAATGGATTAGAGAAAAGGATCAGATGTTGAAAAAGCCATGCGATTTGAACATTGACGCTAAGCATCAATGAAGGTTGCTGAAGTAAATTAAGTGAAGAAAATGCCAAAAGAGAGCCATATATTTTTTTTTGTTTGATTTGTGATTTGATTATAATAAACCTTATGAAAATTGAAGCGCTTATGGTGTTTTGTTTTTGATCCAAGAATATTCTTTGTTAGAAACGTTATTTACTTGTAAATATTTGAATTCTCTAGTCACGTTTCTTGAATTCGACTTAACCTGAAATAAGTTCTTTGTCGAAAAGATTATATGAATTTGCAAGCAAGAAAGTTGACATTTAAAAGTATTCGTATTAAAAACATCTCGTTTAGAAGAGATTAGAAGAAATAATCAAAATGTAAAATGGCTCCCTTGTGTCACAGTACTCAACGCGTTTTCATGAAGAAGCTTGTATGCACAACATACTCCCCATATAATTAAACCTATTAAGAAAACTTCATGGGTCAGTCTTGCCATTTTATAATATCTTGTTGCAGTGAAGAGGCTTTTGAAGTTGCAGTAGATTATTTTTCTTTTATATTTAGTATAGCAACAAAGTTATAATAAGCGGTATGTATATCTACTAGCCCCTTAATATGAATGAATATTTATAGATAATAAGATGATGTAAGATGGAATATGAAAAATGCAGGAAAAAATGCAAGAAAGCAAATTATAGTGCTGTAATTAAAGAATTTAAATTGCAGTACATCAATGGAATTGCAGCTTTGTGCAATAGTACTTGCTTTGTGGTAGTTGTTTTACTGAAATTTTCTTAAAATTTACTTTACCACATTTGACACAATAGCATTAGACACTGGCACTTGAGTCGATAACCATTCGACTATATACAAGATATAGATAAGATGGTAAATCCGCTATAAATCAAAGCGAAAACGTTAATTATATGTATGTGTGTATATACATATGTATGTATGTTTGTATAAAGACTTCAATGAAAATTAAATTTTTTCTCAGAACTCCATGTTCATCAATTGACATCGCAGTCTATTGCATGAACTGAATGCGAAAATGTTGTTTCACAATAGTGTTACATTATTTGCATACACGATATTTGACCACACGATATTTCTTAAACAACAAAATTTATGATTTAGACCTGCAATATTAAATTTCTCGCATATTTTGAATTAAATTTGTTCTGGTCAGATTATGAATAAGAACGAGGCTTAACTTTAAATTATTTTCTTTATAACAATGTACACATATACACATATGAATGTATATGTACACATGTACCTTTTCCTAAATCCAACAACATAAACTAAAACTGATCGATTTTTTTGTCTATTTGAACACGTTTGCAAGATTATTTCTAAAATTTAACAAATATAGCGAATTTGCGATAAAAATAAAATAATTAATGGTGCTTATGTCAAATCGAATTTCAAAATATTTGAGTATGCAACATCAGAGCTTATATTTAATATTTTTTGTTAAGTTCAGTGAACTTTTATGCATAATATTATTGTTTGAACTCTCAAACTGACTAGATACATATGGTATATAAGTATGTATATACATATGTATGTATGTATTTGAAGTTTTGATGAAATTTTAGGTGATATACTAACTAATATTAGTAATATTGTTTCAAATATTAATTAGTGTCAAAAAAATTCGTGGTCAAGTTCAATGATACTTGACTTATTTTATAATAAAGCAAAAACGAAAAAAAAGCAAAAAGTTTATTAAAAACATATTGGATATTTTGCTAGGAATTTGTTATTTTTTTTGGATTTTGATTAGAAATTCTATATAATTTAGAAAAACCGGTTTTTTAAAGATATAAAGAAAAAAAAAGCAATAAAAAATTTAACATATTTTTTTTACGTAAAGAACTGTAAAATTATTAAATAAGACAAGTTGCTTTTTTTTCTAAAAATTGACTTTAGAGCTTCTATGCTTCAAGCTTAGAAATGACTAGTAATAATAAACGAAAATTTATTTTGATTTTTTGTATATTGTATGTGCTATAATGTTTATAATAGAATTTGGTATGATATACACACATACTATGTACGTAGGTAAATGTTATGTTAAATGTTAAGTGCTGTAGCACCCTCTTAATTTGTTTTTTTGCAATTTTTCTTTATTTAGTACAAATTGAACTGCTGAAGGTTTTAAATCAAAATGTTGCTAATAAATGTTAAATTATTTTTATTAATATTCCAAATTATTTATATTATTGAAATTAAAAGTGTTAAAAGTGAACGAGAGGAAATTTTTACAGCTATTTCGGATATGGAATCAGTATTTTCAACAGAATCGTCAATAATAAAATATTTTCAAAATTATTTAAATGATGCTGAATTAAAATTAAATAATTTAAAGGAGTAAGTTTATATGTGCTCTAAATTTGTACTGGAATATTACAATACGAGCTGTAATCAAGCGGCAATATGATTATATTATTATATTTAATTTTAAGTGTGTGTCTAGGTACTATAAGTTGGTCCAATGTTCATTTTAAAAATGTGATTTTAATTTTTGATATTATTAAATTTTTATTGTTTGGAAGACAAAAGAGAGTGCGAATTTATAATAAATGTATTACTTGAATTTCCAGATATTCAAAGCTAGCTACTATAAAAGATTTATTATATCATTTTAGAATATTATCAAAACACAGAACTGAATACAAAGGCTTGTTACATAAATTGAATCAAACAAATGAAATAGTACAATCGATGGCATTGTATAAATTTTTATCAAAATTCAATAAAAATTTGTACCAACTGGAAGATATAGTAGAATATAATCCAGAAATTGGTAAAAAAAAAACATCTATAGTCACCTTGAGAATTATAATTGTTAAAAAAACCACAACATATTTCTCTTTATATTGTATATATACCAGATTTAAAGAATAATGTTAAAGTATGTAGAAACACTTTAATATTTCCAACAAAAGATGATTTAACTGGTGTAATATCTGGTTTAGTTCGATTGCAAGATGTTTATGATTTAACAGTTGATAAATTTTTTAAATCTTTTAATTTTGGAGACGAAACCAAAAGGTGAGTATAAAGATAAAGTATAAAGATTTCTTTTAAACTTAAAAAATTATTTATTAGATCAAAATTGGACTTTACTGATTATTATTTAATTGGTTTGCATCTTTATAATGGCGAGCAATATGATAAGTCTGAACAATGGATAAAAAAAGCTTTAGAAAATTATAACGAAACAGCACCTAATATTGGACTATATGAAAATCTTACCAAATTTTATCTCTTAGAATTATTATCTTGGATTAATTATAAGAACAAAAATTATGACTTAGCACTTCATTATGCTGAAGAATATTTAAAAATCAAACCAAATGCAATTCATATTCAAAAAAATATAGAAGATTTTCGAATAGAAAAAGAACATTTTGAAATTACAAAACGTCAAGAATTTATTTTAGAAGTTTTTGAGCGTTATAAACAAGGTTGCCGCAATGAATTAAAACGGAAAATAAATTTGATGAGTAAATTACAATGTTGGTATTTAAGTGAAACATCATTTTTTCTACAATATGCACCTGTTAAAATTGAAGAAATTAATTTTAGCCCTGAAATATTTTTATTTCATGATGTTATTTATGATTCAGAAATAAAGAAATTACAAAATTTGTCAAAAGGAAAATTAACTCGAGCTAAAGTTTATGATATAACGAAAAATTCTGAATATAAATCGGAAATTCGAACAAATAAATTAGCATGGTTAAAGCCTGATACAGATCCTTTAATAAATGTGATTCGCCGAAGGATAGCTCATATTACAGGATTATCGATGGATACTGCTGAAGATTTGCAAATTGCTAATTATGGTATTGGTGGACATTATGAACCACATTTGGATTATCATTTTGATGAATATGGGGTGAGTTTTATACATCATATTTGTATATGATTTGGAAGTAAATATTGTTGATGAGATCATTTCCATTTGTGATTTTGAAAATTTACAGAATTCTACAGAAAATTTTCTTGGATCTGAAAATGGTAATCGAATGGCAACTTTAGTTTTTTATGTGAGTACTTTTTCTTGCACTATTACGATTAAAGAACAAATTTTATAAATTTTATTGATCTTTTACAAGACTTTTAATTTAAATTGTTAAACAGTGAGAATTAGAAATATACACTTTAAATTTACATATTGTAAATTATATGGCGTTCTTAACATGTAAATACATATTCTCAATTCGAATTTCTTGTTGAGATTTTAAAAGCTACCCACACATTAGTGCACAAATTGCTGCACAAAATTCGTTTACTTTAAATAAATGAACACCTTATCAAAAAGTTGTTTTATTGGTTATTCAATGACATTGACTTGTTCGATTTAATACTGTTTTCTACAATTTAGTTATCTGATGTCAAAGCTGGTGGCGCAACTGTCTTTCCTTTATTAAATATTACTGTATTTCCGCAAAAAGGTTCAGCTCTTTTTTGGTATAATTTATATTCAAATGGTGCTGGGGACGTTAGAACATTTCATGCTGCTTGTCCAGTCTTGGAGGGTGATAAATGGAGTAAGTTCAATATATATTATAGTCGAATTTTTAAATACATAGATATGCAAATCTATATTTTTTCGATTATTAATTAAATCTTAATCGATTTACAGTTCTAAATGAGTGGATCCATGAGCGGGATCAGGAGTTCAATAGACCTTGTTTGCTGCAAAGAGATGATATTTAAAATAATTAATTTTTATTAAATAAAATTATATTTTTGTACTATTCAAATATGAAGTTTATTTTAAAAATATACATATGTAGTTTGCGAAAAAAAACATATTATTATACATGGACGTCTGAAGAAAAGAAATGGTATTACATATGGAAATAAGTGAATGTTTTTAAACGAAAATCTAAGCATATTAAACCCTGTCTGCTCATCTGTTTATCCGACACAAGGTTTTCGTATGTCCGAAGGTATTTTATTAATTTGGCAATAGGATAAAAAAGTTCGTACGGGTATATTTTTTCTCGTCCTATATTATATTAAATTTACTTAAGCAGGAATGAAATAAGAAATTTCAAGAATATGCGATAGAATATAATAAGTAAAATATATTAGAAAATTGGCTGCCATTGGAGTAGATGTGTAAGTTTCGCAGAAAATTTTTGAGTTTTTTCTGTAAACAAAAAAAGGTGAAATATCAAATTTTGAAAAAAAAAAAAAAAACAAATTACAATTATTGCTTTAGGCATGGTTGGAAATGATTAATTTTTTCAATAGAAAATAGGGATTTGCTGGCCACAATACACATAAATTTATTCAATTTTCACAAAAAAACAGATATAAGATCTCATTCAAATTATTTCTTAGAGCTTATTTTAGTGCGAAAAAAAGAAAGGCAGCTGTAATTTTTACTGCAAATCTACGTACATACATACACAGCAGTAGTAGGTACGAACATATTAATTTATATTTCAATGATTTTTTATTTATTTTGCAAAAATGCGAGTTCATTTAATTATTTTCAATTTTAGAATTGATGATGATAATTTACCCTCAGACAGACAAAGAGTATCGTAAATTTGACATTAAATTGAAATTAAAAAAAAAACATTTCTTGCTGAAATAAGCATTTTATAAAATATTATTAATAAACAGTACAAATTTCGCAGATTTGACAAGGCCACGACATTTAATTTTATGTAATGTTCATGTATTATAATTATACATAATTTATAAAAAAATTAAAAAAATGCATCTTAAGCATTTTAACAGCAGGTGTAAGTATTTACAACTAAATTTCATTTGTATATCTAGAAATTTATATTTCGTTTTGGGTACCTGCTTAAAATACTGGTGCTGTAGTGAAGTAATAAAGTAATAGAGTAAAAGAAAATATGTGATGTATGCATTACATTTTATTAATAATGAGAATTTGAAAAGTATTGAATGACAATTCTAATATTTGAACAGTATAGAAATGAGCTAAACTAGTTGTATTTTACCTGCGATCTCTTTAAAAGAAGGTGCCAAATTGTGTTCATCATATGAACTTTTTCTTATTTTCTCCAAAAAGGAATACGAATTTGGCTACAAATTTTATAAATCTGTAAAATCAAATAAAAACGGCGATCTTACGATGTTAGACTTAAAATATTGGAGTATGAATAAGTTGTACCCTAGTGTGATGCTTACCAAAGATACCAATTTTAATTTTTCTAGGTTATTAAGCCGAAAAGCACTAAGGACAATTGAAACAGCAAAAATTTATAAATTTAAGTTTGATTTTAATTTTAAACAGCTGCAGTTTTTTTTCTTTTTCACTTTTAATTTATTGAGAGAACTACATAGTTGTTAGAAGCTTTGCAATACTTTATTGCTTTGTGTTATGTACAAAATCACATAACACAAATTTTATACGTCTTTCGTTTGGGAAAAATTAAAAATAATTATTTGTTTTATTAAAAATAAAATTTTAGAATTCATGAAAATAAATACAATGTTGATGGCTCCTAAAACGTTTTTCATATCGTTTTTTTATTTTGTTGGAGCTTTGTTTTTAATTTCCGATGCACTAAAACAAGGTGATGATTTGCATTCATCTGTAACTGCACTCCAAGATGTTTTAAATGCGGAAAAACATCTGGTTGAAAATTTAGCAACCTACATAACGGGATCTGAACAGAAAATTAATTTTATGAAAAGGTGAGTCTCGTTGACAGTTCTTACAGTTTGCTGGCCTGTTCGTTCTCAGAAATAATCAGCTAAAATATAACTCTTTTTCCGGAAAATTTTTTTTTCCAAATTAATAAGTACCCAGAAACTTGAAAGAATAAGATTCAGTAAAAATTAGGTCATTCAATTAAAAGTTAGTAGGTAGGGAGCGGCACGTGATTTTGTGTCGTCAATACTTGAAACTTCCTAAAAATAAATGATAATAAATTTTGTCTTATTGTTTCAGTTTTTTAACTGAATTAAGGAATAAACATTTCAAAACCCTTGAAGATGGCTTAATCAGTGAATCTATTGAAAATCCTCTCCATTCATTTTTGTTGAAAAAAAGATTGGCAATAAATGTTCCAAATTTACAACAATATCTCAACAGGACGACAGTAAGTAAGTACTTTAAACTCGATTATAACTAACAATTATGACTCATTTTGAAAATTCTTAGAAATATTTCAAAATTTAACAAAAGTAGCGGAAGAACGTGATTTGCCTAGTGTGAAAGACTTAGAAGGTGTTACTTTAGGTCTTTTACGTATTCAAGAAGTTTACGGAATTTCAGCTGAACAAATTGCTGACGGAATGATGAAAGATATCAATTTCGGTGCAAAATTTAAAGCCTCTGATTGCTTTGAAGTTGGTTTAAAACTCACAGGGTTCAACTATCACTATTATGCTATACAATGGTATAAAGTTGCACTGAAACGCGTTGAGGAAGAAGGATGGAAAGGCATTACACCAACAATGCACAAAAATGTTCTTTTAGATTTCCTTGCATATTCCCAATTTATGGAAGGTAGCATCGAAAATGCAAAAGCTGCAGTAGAAACGGCGCTTTTTGCTTTACAAAACAATTATACTGGTCCAAATGCAATTCACATTGCAGTTAATTTGAAGTCTTATCTTGAAAATTATATTGCTTTGAAAACGGGAACAAAAAAACCTACAGAATTACATCCGCCGTTGGGTACTTTAAGTCGGTATAATTTAACTGTAAATATTTTGACATTGGAAATATTTGATTGCTTTACTAAAGTACTAAACTATTTTATTTTTAGGAACTAGATCTTCTTAAAAGGGGTTGCAGAGGTGAACTAAAAAAGTCACCTGCAGAAGAACGAAAATTATTTTGCAGATATGAACGAAAAAATCATCCATTTCTATTATTGGCGCCTATAAAAGTTGAAGTATTGAATTTAGAACCATTACTAGTAGTTTTACATGACGTTATGTATGATTCTGAAATTGAAATTCTTAAAGAATTATCCAAAGAAAAATTAGTTCGTGCTGGCGTTTGGAATAAAGAAAAAGGAGTTGGAGAAACTTCAACAGTTCGTACAAGTAAATTTGCTTGGTTTGATAACTCAACACATCCCATAGTTCATACTTTAAATCAAAGAGTAAGTGATATGACCGGTTTAACTATGGAAACTGCAGAAGATTTTCAATTAATGAATTATGGTATAGGAGGTCATTACGATATTCATCCAGATTATTTTACAGAGCCAACTAAGGAGGTGCTTTTAAATACAAAAATATTTTAACATTTTAAAATATGTTTGATTTAATAATTATAGAATGGAGCAAAACCTTTTGGTCAATATCAAAATGGAAATAGAATAGCTACAGTACTATTTTATGTAAATATCATGAATATTTTTTATTTTTAAACTTCATTATTAATGTTCATTTACGTTGTTTAATGCAGATGTCAGATGTTCCTCTCGGTGGTGGTACCGCTTGGCCAAATATTAATACTTTAACACTACCTAAAAAAGGATCAGCAGCATTTTGGTACAATTTACATGCTGATGGTCAAACTAATTTCCTAGCTCGACATTCTGCATGTCCTATAATAGTTGGCTCTAAATGGGGTACTAATAATTTAATTAATTTTTAACGAGAGTTTTCAATTATTGTAATGTTTTTCTTTTAATTTTTTTAGTAATAAATAAATGGATACGTATAAGAGGGCAAGAATTTCGAAGACCATGTTTAACCTACCCTGATTCAGAGTGAAAAGAGGAAAACAATTACTAAAAAAATTTGTTGTTAAGATCATGTTTTTCAATTAATAGTAATAATTTATATAGTTGTTCTGCTGATTGTGTGGGCCGATTTATTGTTTTGAAAATAAATTCTTTTTAATACCAATTTCAAAACTCTTTCATTTAGAAAATAAACCATTTGGGTAGTTTGTTTGCAATAGTTTTCTGTAGTAAGTTCATCTTAAAAAGAGTCCCAGAACTCTATATAGTGTTAATATTTTATATAGTCTAATCTGGATTTTAATAATCTTAACTATTCACAAGAGCAATAAAAATTTAACAAATAGAAATATATTTCTCAATGAAAATTGCATAATACCAAGATTAAATTAGTTATTACATCAAAATAACTAAGATGTGAGGTTATTGTCTTTGGTTGTAGTCAAATAAGTAAGCATACAAATTTATGAATTCGTTCAACCTTTCGCATCTCTTATTCAAAAAAAGCAGTTTTCAATAAGAACTAGATGTTAAGAAGAAAATATTAAGAAAGAAAAGCAACCCAAGTACATACGTCGCATGATTTCGTTTTCTAATCGGCGTCGCGATGAATACTAATTTTTTTTTGCTTTTTTAACAATTAATAAATAGTAATCAATCGAAATATGTACTAGATTTCATAAGATTGGGTAATTTAATCCACGAAAGCACTGGTTTCTGTCTATTAAAGATTATAAATTCCAATTAAAAATGATGAACTGAATGATGAAAATGAACTTAGAACTAAGGCAGCACAACGCAACCAAAGATGAAAAATATCAGAAATTTTCAATTTCAAGTTAAAAACAATAAGATATAGAAAATGTAACTTTTGTTTTATGTATCTGTTGTAAAAAAAAATCGCCGAATAGCCGTTCAATAAGGCGGAAGCATACAACAACAAAAAAAATGAACGAAGAACAAAAAAAAAAACTTAAAAAAATAAAAGAAAAGACAAACAAGAAAACAGAAGTTTCAGTTGTAATTTTTTTTCTGTCTTGACTGTTTTATTTCTTTTTC